CTGACCCTGACCCCCTTGCTGCTGCTTCTGCTGCTGTACCAGTTCTGACAGCTGTTGCTGGCTGAGCCCGAGCGAGTTTTGGTGCATCTGTGAGGAGTTCAATTGCTGCTGCCTCAGTAGCATCTGTTGCCTCTGTTGCTGGAGCCGAAGGGAGGACGAGTTTGGAGAAGACATTGAGGGAATTTGCTTTAGCCACTGCTGCTGTTGAGATAAGGCATTGTGGAGCATGCCCTGCTGTCCATTCTGAGCCAGCCCGGAAATCTGTGCGTTCATAAATGGCGATGTCCTGGTCATGTTTTGGCCCTGAGTTTTTTTGGGGAAAAAATAAATATAAAATGAATTGTCATTAAATGCGAAAATCCTTCATTAGAAGGCGGAAAGGATGGTGGTGAACGATGTGCGTTCACGGAAAGTGAGAACAGCTAATAAGATTCTTGTCTATAAGAACGGGTGAGGCGTAGTATTTTGTCATATGAGCATTAATGTTTTATATTTAAAAGATTTTTTTTTTCAATTATACAGAACAAACTCCAGCTGTTGGAGCATTTTAATGAAACAGATTTACATCGCATGTACATACAAATACAGCAGATATAAAGATAACCACAGCTATACACATATATACATGTACCAATTGTGTAGGCAATTGAATTACATAATATGTATACATAAATGTATGCATGTAGTAGCTGCATATAATCTTGCACGCATAGATGGTTATTTATAGGACTATAGTACATAACATCTGACACCTAAATGGCTAACCATGACTTCACATATTTCCCATCATTAGTTTTTTTCCTCAAACGATAATAGATTTTATTCCAAACAAGAACAAATACAGTAGTACACCCCCTATCATTAGTTGCTGTTTTCCATATTTGCTTATTTGAAAAACTTAGACTCAAATCAAAGTATTAGAGTTATGAGAGTTTTGTGTTATATTTCTTTAATTGATTAAATATTACCCAATGATATATCCTCTTATTTCAAGGTAAAATCAATTACTTATCCAATACCATTGTGAGCATTTAAAGGTATGAAATTAATCTGATTATATACTTTATAACAAATTATCCTTGCACCAATTTCAATGGAAGTAGCACACAAAAAGCATGAAATGCCAACGTCCATTTGCGAAAGGAGTAGTTTCGGATAAGATAATTCGTTAAGAAATATGGATCATTGCAATGTCATATTCATTTTGCAAAATCAATCATTCATTTCATAGTACATGGTTGGTAATGAAAACCGAGTTGGTTCGACAAAGTAATATGTGAAAACTTGGTAGAAAAGGAAACATCTTATCATTGTCCAATTTACAATGCATATCTGCAAGTTATATATATTCCAGAAATTGAAGATGCTCTATAGGCAGATATACTTAAGTGACAGAATCATAAATTGACGGTCCTTTGATATTGAGGTGCTATTTAAATCCAAGTTTAATAGATTAAATCCAATTTAAAGTTACCATCACTCACCATAAATCATGTCAGCCAGTCATATTACAGAGTTTACCAACTCTAAGTTCACAGTTGTTTCTATGAAAGAAATATTCATGGTAGTAAAATGAATATATCTAAACAATTATGAATTCCCTTCACTTTCTATATATTCAGAGCTACATGCTTGAACTTAACATTTTCCAAATGTTGCTCATTCATTGCTTAATGATATTCAATTTGACAGGTCAAAACATCAGTTATAGATGCTAAAACAAATTGTGATACTTGGGCTACAATTTTGCATAATGAAAATGTTATCTCCAACCATCTCAAATGCTAAATAGCATGCATTAGAAAATGCCATAGTCCCAGAATAAAAACCATAACAAATGGTTTGAGTCATTGACTGCAAACATGAAAGAAGTCTAAAGCTAATTGCACTATTAATGCAACTGCCTACTAGTATTTTTAAGTTTCGACGCTGCATTTGAATAGATGTCTGAATTCCATAATAACCCAATGAATCAAGTTTTTACTAGCAGTAAGACAGGGAGAGGGAATGTAGGTCCCTTCCTATTGTAGAATAGGGGTTTGAATAAGCTACTTCTGGCTGTATAGCATCCGAGATGGAAGAAAACATATGCGAGTATCATTCAATGTAGAAAAAGTTTTAAAATCCAATCGAGAGGCCAATTTGAAGTGAGAAAGACCACTATCACTTTCCAATTCTTCAGAGAAACAAAAATATAAAGAAAAATCTGATCCCCACAATATGACAATTATCATGGGAAAAAAAAAAGTACATTATAAGTGGATTACATTGGCTACAACTCAAATATTTCGGAAGCTCCAATTGTAGAAGCATCTTTAACAACTATTCTTAAAATTAGATAAAAAACGAACTAAGATCTACTCTACAAACAGACATGGAAAAGACTCCAACATTAACCAAATTGATCACCCATTGCCCAAGAATTGGTGATCCATGCCTACTTCATTTCAAAACAACAATAAACGATAATCCAGGGACGGATAAAATTATGTAAAATCTGTACCTGACTAGCATTGAGTGCATTTTGCTGCGAAAGATGCTGCCTCATTTGGGCTGCCGTCATCCTTTGCTGAGTGTAAGGAAGTGTTCCATTTCCTCTAAGTTGCGAGCTCAAATTGAGAGAACCCATCATTCCCATTGCTTGCAAGGACTGTCCAGCAGAATTCCCTGAATGGAATTGAGTCCCTTGCATGAAGTTCGTCTTCTGCCTTGGCTGCACTCAAAATAGCACCTCATTGAAAAAACAAAAAAGACTACTGGATAACTTATTCTTTATTTAGGAAAAAGAAATATAAACGAAGAATTTCACAACCCTATGACTTCATAATTATTAATATAAGATAGTTACAGATAGAAAAATCATCTATACCTAAAACCAACAAAAACAAACATGATTTTCATACCAGACCAGCCTTAGCTATCAATGGCCATTGGCCACATATAACTTTAATACGAGGCACAACACAGCATCACAGACACAGAAGAAACTAAGTTGAGTGAATTACCACGATCCATGTAATGATTTTATTGAATAAAATATTGCCCTCCTCTACAAATCAAATTCCAAGATCACAAACTAAAAAAGATTGCAAAAATATGGCATCATTCAGATAATGGATACATAGTGAACACACAGAGATCAGAATTTCCAAGGCAAATACGGATCACAACTTCGTAACTCACACCACATCAAATAATGAAATGTAAATTTAAAAAATGCAACAATGCAAAAGGATCGCACTTTCAAAGATGACAAACCATGGCTCATGTTAATTATGGGATTTCACAACAAAGTAAAAACAAAATCACAATGTAGACATGCAAAGACCAATTCTTTTCCTAGAGACCCATAAAGCACTCATTTATCCTGCTCCATACCGAGGTCAAAAACTGATTTTGCATATTAAACTGGGCTGCAGCTGCTGCCGCCCCTTGACCAGATAACATTGGTAAATGCCCCGTCTGTCCCATCAATGCAGAATGCGACAAATTCCCACTGCCCATCTGCCCCATTTGCTGCTGTGACAACTGATTCTGCTGCCCAGTTTGCTGTGATAACTGACCCTGCAGCCCGATTTGCTGCGATAACTGTGCCTGCTGCCCGAGTTGCTGTGATAACTGACCTTGCTGCCCGATTTGCTGATGCAGCTGATTTTGCTGCTCAATTTGCGGTTGCAGTTGATTTTGCTGCCCAATTTGTTGCTGTGGCTGACCGTTACTCGAATTATTGATACTAATACTATTATTCTGTTGCTGAGGTTGTTGCTGCATTGCACTCATTCCACCAAAATTCATCTGCCCATAAATTCCCGAATTCGGCTGCTGTTGCTGCTGCCTGACTAACCCTAACTGATTATTGATACTAACGTTACTGCTATTCTGCATTTGATTCAGCCTGGACATAGAAGGGTTCCTCTGCAAACCCTGGTGAAAATTCGAAATTCCCATCAAATTATTACCGTTGGTACTGTTATTCATATTGTTGTTGCTATTCGATTGTTGCTGCAACTGCTGCTGGAGCTGCTGCAACTGCTGCTGCTGCGGTTGTACCATCTGCTGCTGAGACTGCATCATCTGAGGCTGTTGCTGTTGCACCAGCTGCTGCTGCGACTGTACCAACTGCTGCTGCTGGTGCTCGAGCGACGGGGAAGGGGACCGCAGGGTCTGTAACTGTTGGGAATTCGAGGGTTCGATTGCACCTGAGTTCTGCTGTAAGGGCAGGGGCTTTTGTGGGGAAGATGAAGACGCCGGATTTTCCGCCATTGTTTGTGAATAGCTTTCCGCGGAGCTCAATTTTATCTTCGTCCCCGTTGATCGATTGATTGATCGCTGGGTATTGGAATTTAATCCATGGTTTGAGGATTTTCTTTTTATTTCTTCTTTGTAATTTCGACTTTTAGGGCACGATCGAAGAAAGAGAAATGCAGAGGAATATTCTGATTCTGGAGAGAGAATTTTTAATTCGATAAGAACGAACTGAAGATAATTGGAGCCGAGGAACAAGAGAGAACCAATTCCCTCTCTCAAATTTGTTTGGCAATTTTTATTTTTATTTTTTTCTTTTGGTTCATTAATCACGTTTACAAATTACAATTCTCCGGTGTTACTATTTACCGTCTCTTATTACTATTACTACGTATCGACCTCTGAGCATTTTGTCCCGGTTATTTTTTCAAAAACTTCAAAAAATTGTAAATTCTCTCTACTAGACGATTTCCGACAAAAATGTCTTCCAGCGAGGTGCGTTTTTTGGCCGACCGGCCGGTCAAACCGTTCGTGCTGCGGTCAGCCAACCGACGATCTCGGCGGAGCACGTGGAGGCCGGCCGGCAAGTTCAGACGAGACCATTTTGCCCGGTGGGGAATGGGACCATTGTTTGTGGGGAAGATGAAGACGCCCCCTGGATCATTTTGTCCCTGTCATTTTTTCAAAAACTTCAAAAAACTATAAAATTCTCTCTACTAGGTGATTTTTGACAAATGATGTCCTTCGACAGGTATGGTTTTGGCCGACCGGCCGGCCAAACTGGCTATGCTGCAGTCGGCCGACCGGCGATCTCGGAGGAGCACGGTGCGGACGAGGCCATAGGCGGCCGCTATTTGCAGTCGGACAAACCCGTGCATGTCCGAACTTGCCGGTCGACCGCCACCGTGCTCCGTCGAGATCAGCGATCAGCCGACCGCAGCACGGCCGGTTTGGCCAACCGATCGGTAGAGTTTTTTTTTTTCAATTAGTCAATTTAAATTATAAAAAAGATTATATTAGTAGAATTTAATTATGTTATAAATAAGAATTGATTATTTTATAAATTAGAATTTATTACTATTATGCTAGAAGTTAAAAGTTATTATGTTTTAATAGATTGAAATTGATTATCTTATAAATTAGAATTTGAATTTAAAAAACAATTACATCGGTAGAAATTATTATGTTATAAATTAGAATTGAAGGAAAAATAAATGAGATTTTATTAATTGTTTTGCTAGCAATTATATATATATATATATATATATATANTTTTCTACACATACAACCAAAACCATTTTCATTTCTTTTTTTTTTTTCTCTCTTTTTTTCCTTCAATTCAAACACCAAAAGCTTAAACAGAAACTCAGAACGCTACACACAACACATTAACCACACATTTATCATTTTCTTTACAGAGAGTTATATTTTCCTTCTTACATGCCTTTGGACAAGCCTTTTCGTCTACAACAATGTTGTGCTCATAGGATTTGCAAAGTAGTGAACTCGACATATCAGCTTCGATTTTCTAAACCTGTCGCCAAGAAGGTTTCCAAGAATGGAAGGAGGCTGAGACGAGGTCTTTTGTTGCATCTTGCGCGTGATTATGTGATTATCCAAAATCATTATCTCCAACAATCGTTTGCAGCTCTGCAAGGCATTGGCATTTAGTGTCAAGCAAACACATACAACAAATATAAAGGGGACATTTTTCTTTCTTAATGTCATTATATTTAGGCAAAAATGCATTTTTAGTCACGTTGGTTTATCGCCATAGCAATTTCAGTCCCAAAATTCCAACTCTTCGTCTTTTGGTCCTATAATTTAATATTTTGCTGCAATTTGAGTCCTACTAAAACTGCAACAAAATTTTAAATTACGGACTGAAGTTGCAACAAATTTTTAAATTACAAGACTTAATTGCTAATCAAAAATTCATCCAAATGATATAAATTTGGGAATTTGTTGCAATTTCAGTCTTCAAATGATTAAATCACAAGACCAAAAAGCAAAATATTAGAATCTTGGGACTAAATTTGTTACGGCGTTAAACCAGCAGGACTAAAAATACAATTTAGCCTTATATTTTGTCAAATCATATTTACGCCTTTCTAATTTCAAATAGTTCTCTTCATCTTTTGCCATCAAGAAGCCGGTTAGTTGCATACCTGAGGATTTAGACCTTGCATATGTTTTATGATGTCATCCTGCATATAAAGTTCAAAACGAGGAAGGTGTCACTGGTATATATATTCGGTCAGACATAAACGAAAAATAAAAGTAAATAATGTACTATGAAAAAAGCTGATTAAGGTACACAGCATGACATCAAGGGAGGAGAAAATGGAGGATATAATTCATAATTTAGAATGCCTCTATGCATTTGCTTCAATTGCCATACTTGAGTTAATAGAGGCATTCATTAGTGCAAAAACTGATAGATACAATGAAATTTCAGCGCTATTGAAAATATGCAAATGCATAAGAAGACAGTATACCTCTAATATTCCCGGATTTTGCATTACGATACCAAGGACTCGACGTATGAGCCCCTTGTACACAGGTTCATTTATGGTACCATCTCCATTCATCCATGGTAACAGGGGCCGACATAACCGAGCATCTACAGAATGGAATCCAAAATTTTCAGCTCCAGTAATTATAGGAGAAGCCGAATCAGAGTGCTGGTAGCTCGTAATGTTATCCGATGTCGATAAAACAGCAGACGGGCCAGAAACATCTTCAGGCAGATTTAGAATTGTTACCCTATGCTCTTCATCGGCACTTGTGTTAATTTCACTCTCTAATGGAGAAACCGATTCTCCTTGATTATCAATATCAAGAGGAACACACTCATCTTCAAATTTTGTTTTCTGATGTTTAAGACACATACTGACACGGCCACGTACAGAGTTCAAGAAATACTTGGATTGATACAATGAATCTACCACGCGAATGGAATCATAACCATTGACCTGTATTCAAGCATTGAAAAACAATTAATATAAATCAAGCTAAGATCAGTAAACCCCCAATTAAAAAAAACAAAAAAAAAAACAAAAAAAAACAAATATCGGTGGTAGGTGTAGCGCAAATGAAGTCAAAACATTTAAAATTTGGCTTCATCAACTCTTAAGCGCTTGATATCAATAACTCAAATATCATATAGTGCTCCAATAGTTACAATCGAGGACGGTGAAATGGGGAAGAAACAAAACCTTTAAAGTTCGTCCAAATGCTTCAAGAACCTCAATGATAAGTTCCAACATCTTCTCATCTGTGAAAGAAAAAAATGTACAGGTTCATGTTATACTCCTTTAAAGGTCAATCAAAGCAAAGCACGGGTAAAATAATAGCAAACCTTTAATGTTCAAAACTTTGCGAACATTTTTCATGCTCAGACCATTGTCTCCAGATTTATGAATAGCGGAATAGAGGTTTTTGAATAAGTCCGGTTTTAGAGTAGAACTTTCTCGTTCATAAGAGCATGAAGATGTCAGATATTCGGCATATCTGGTCATAGATTCCCATGGCGACTCACCCACATCAAGCACACGATGGGTTGTCCTACCAGAATCAAGCATTTCTCTCACATAATCAGCTACATCAGAATCGGATGCACCACAATTAGCATCCATTTGTATGCCTTGATTTTTTTCACCGAATAGTGGGACCCTGTGCACATCCTCGACTTTGAATGATTCGCGCTGCAAGCATAATTTTATGCCGGGAAAACCTTTTTCCCGGCGAGAGGTCATCTCCCCTTCCCCGGTAAAAGATGTTTTCAGTTTCTTAGATATTTCTCCACTGTCCATATCGTTATCGTCACATTTTCGTTTGGAAGTTCTGTTATCTTCTACCTCACCAACACCGTCGTCAGGCAAGCATGGAGTAATCGACAGCTCTCTTGAAGATATTAAAGTGCACAAAGTGAAAACTTCGCCACACTGCAGATCGGAAGGGACATCAATGCCTTCTTCCATTAAATCCTCTTCCCTTTCGTGAAGCCATGTGAGAAAATCAGCGGCTCTTTTTCCAGTATCATCTGGGAATGTGGATCGTGAGATACTCTGCATGAAGTGCTGTGATAGCACGAAAGGAGCGTTTGAGCTACCACCAATCTGCCAAATGGAAAACAACTATGGTAAATTATTATCAGAACAGAAACAGTCGGACAGAATATTTTCGTCATGGACATTAAGTAACCAACATTAGGTTGCAAATGCGTACATAGTCGCATATTTTCAATGACGGGCTGAAATAGTACTTTGATACTGAACAATGGAAAATTAGAATTAAATACATTGGAACCCTTCCCATAAATCATGATATGTAATAGATCAAGTCTGTAATATACACACCCAGTTGCAGATCATAAAATTCATTTATATCATGCTGGGTAAAAAGCAAGAGTGGTGCAAATGATATTATTTACCATGATCTTTTTCTCCCTCAGGTAGTTAAAAGCAGCAAAGAGATCATGCTCAGAATATCGACGTAGAGTTTCAGCCAGCAATATTGGCACTTCAGGAGCTTTAGAATTGCTTAGAAAGATTAGCTTAAATAACTCTGCAGCATTTGCCACTGCAACTGATTCGTGCATCTGTCTGCAAACACTTCCATAGTCATTTGAAAGCTTCATATACTTTACAGGCGGCTTTCGGGATCTTGATCTTTGACCAGAAGCATTAGGCCTTTCACAACCCTCATTCTCCTGGAAATTAAGAAACTAATGAGATTTGTGACCGGTTTCATACGAATAGTGCACATATGGTTGCAGAAGAAAAGGTATGTAGAACTAGAAGCCACTCAATGCTTTCCAGACCCTAGAAGGACCTTTCAGAATACAGAAAATGGTGTGTCTCAAAAGGACAACCTCCCTCAAGAAAAGTATGCTGTCAGGGGTAATATGAAGCCATATATGCTATTGGACACACAAAACCAAATATGTCACTCTAGTACATAGACTAAATGAAATAGAATCATGCAATATAAGGAACTCACACTATCCTCGCTATTTTCTTGGTCTGGGAAAGTATCCTGGGGAACCTCCAACTTAGACATCCTTTTATGTCTCAAAACCTCATTTACCATTAACTTGATGACATCCTCATCAAAATTGGCCCATTCTTCAGACACTGTGGTGGAAGACTTTAAATGATTTTCTACAACTGAAGGATCATTGGTCATCTTTATAAAATCCCCATCATCCAATATCTTATCATGACGTTGCGCAAGGTACTTTGAATAGCGCTCGGCAAGCATATTGCATAGTTTCATTACAGCTTTTCTAAATGGCATATAGCTATTCAAGACCGCCATTCTTCTTTTGCAGGTATTAGGTGGCGCCGGAAGATTTGGAACTGATGCCCAATCTACACGGTGATATTTTGCCCCAAGAGCAGCTCGGTATCTTGCATATTCAATCACCAATCGTCTGAGAGAATTGATCAATGTGGAAACATAAGAAGCGGATAAATCCTTGAATATTAGAAAAGTAAAATGAACGCCTCAGCACTCACACACAATGGTAATCTAGTACAATGATGCATGCAAGAGGATATTACAGGCATTTACATCTGATGTTTCAATCTAATGATTTTGTAGCAATATCACAAAACAGAAATTAGAGAAAGAGTTAGTTGCTTTTGCAAATAATATCTATGGATAAGTGTATGAGCAACTAAGTATCACCTATCTGCCTCTTCTGTCCACATAAACTTCTTCTTCTTATGTGCCACATTAAAGTTTGCCAAGGCTTGCTTGTGAATGAAGGTATGGATCGTCTTATCATCTTCGTTTAAGTATGGCACATCTGGCCCATTTGTCTTGTCATCAGCTTCAAATATCTGCAAATGACAACCACAATCTTCAGGAATAGTTCATACGAGGTGGTGTTCCAAATTAACTTGGTTATGAGGAGTAATACCGGACTTGACCTCTCCAGACTTGATTCTCCAACTGCCAGGCTAGCCGTCACAAGCTTTGATGGCATTCTGCTGGAAGATCTTTTATTTTTACATGACGAGAAAGAATCTTTTTCTTTATCTGTCCCAGGATTCTGATTCTCGGCAGCCAAATCTCTCTGAAGTCTAGTAAGCCGTTGCTGTCTCTTGTCAGAATAGACTCGGAGAACCTACAACATCGTTGAATTATATGATTCATGTCATAACTAACACATTTGTTCAATTACTTAGCAGTTGAATGTTACTATCTGAATCCCAATAATGATAGTCGGGCATATACTCAAATTCGCTGTGTGGCTGATAACTTCAATATATTGCATGAAGACTTTGTAAGTTATCAAGATAGGAACTAACTAACAATCAAACTGAGCAGAAATTTCCAAGTTTTTGACTCAGCATAGTCAGCATGTACATTGAGGAATAAATTATGAATCTGAGCTTTCAACCCAAAAACAGGATATTAGTATGATAATCGCCTCCCTGTAATTTTACATATTTTATTGAGTGACATTCTGCTGGGAAAAACAAGTATCAAAATACTGGTGACTTTATTAGTTATCCAACCTGCTCCAGGGTCAGATTAAGGTCCTTAGCAATCTTCTCACACTCACTGAATGAAAGCTTTTCCTTTGGATCATCTTTCACGACACGCTTGTGTAGCTCCACCCGCTCATCAGCCGTAATTACCCGGGAAGATGTCCATGATCGTGGATTAAATACCTGAACAAAATTTTTACCCATTTTATGAGAGCATTCAAACAAAACAAGGATCAAAGCGCAGATCAACCTAATGAAACCAAGCTAATACATTCCAATCTACATTGCAATTCATATCACCACATCGAATTCAAATTGAATGAAGAATTTTCCAGCGATGACTTTATCCAACCTACTAAGACTCGTGGAAAATGAGGCATGTCAGCACAACTTCCATATAAGTGACGCTTTAAAAATCTCAGACCTAATTTTCTATAATATTACAATTCAAAAGCTAGCAAATCATAAACGACCGCATCAAGTTGACCCACTACGCAGCTCCCTTCTGACCTATCCAACAATATGTCGAGATAACAATCACAAGCCTACTATCTCACTTCTATATAAAAAGGAGAACAAAAAGGAAAATTCCACCACCTCATGGACTGCAGTTCCAGGGAATGCAAGCAAAGCAGCTCTTGATTTGGATGCAGAATAACAATACTCTAAAGTATTCCAGTATTCATCAACGGCTTTTCTGCTCAAAAGAACAAAATCATGCCTGATTTGAGGGCGTAGATCATGCAAACCGAGACCAGTAGTTGATGCAATTCCTGTGACTGGTTCCTCAATGTAAGGTTTGAGTTCTAATGCATGAGTGAGAGTCGTATGTGGATTGCTACCTCCATCTTCTGCATGGTCCTTACTCACTAGACGAATCAACTGTCCCAAAGTACCATTTCACGTCAGATAAGAAACACAATTAAGAAAACCAGTATTTTGACAAAAAAGAAAATAAAAGGATTAATGGAAATTTAAAAAGAAAAGTAGGAAAAGGGAATTTGGAGTTATTATTCAATGAGCACTGAAACGAGGGTGCCATTGGTTACTCCAATATTTCCTAATTTAACTGTCAATGTCGATTTTACAGTATAATGGCATTTGTCAGCACCTTTGCCGAAAGCTTATTCTTAATTAGACATCTAAACTGAAATTAAATTTCAAATTAAAAAATATAGCTTTTATGGCTATTCTCGAGAAATCCAAAAGAATGTCTACTAGCCTGAAGTACCCCCACCACCACCAACAAAAAAAATAAAACAAGCCCCTGCTATGACAATGCCAATTCGTGATATTTTCCCTCTCCATCTTTCTTAATGAACTCTTTCACCTAAATGTCGGTTGACTTCACCTAGATAGATTCGCCAAACAGTTTGAAGATTCACTCAATTCAAAATAGGCAACAATTCCGAAAGGATTTCTACCAAACCTTTCAGTACAGGAAAAACTCAATCAGAATTTAATAACAATGAGATCTGAAACCAAACAGTACATCATAAAATAAGCCCGAAAGTCGAAAAGAAACAGCAGCTACAAATAATACCTTCAGCCGCCGCAGTATATCAATTAGCCAAGATAGTCGCCCAGTTGCTCGAGTATCCATAAGGATCTTGTATTCCTCAATTGGAAGATCACAGAGTCGCATGCCACTTCTACATTTCCCAATCATATCCTCTAATGCTTGAGCAGAACCTACTACTTTTAAGAACAAAGCAAGTGGCATCGATCTAATGGCCAGATCTAACTCAAACAACTTGCAGGTACTGTGTGGATTTTTCAAATCATTAGAATGATTACTAGGCAATAAGGTGCCATCCCAACTAGGAGAACCGTGCATCCAATCCCAAAGAAAGACGTGAAGAAGCTTTGTCCGAACCATTCTAGGAAGCACAAATCCATTACGCACAGCTTCAGCCCGAAGTAATTGGGTATCTGACCTTATGCTATTTGGAATCCTCTCCACGTTGTCCAATATGGGAACCGATTGGCCCTTCTGCCGAGTATGTGCTTGCCTCCGCACTTGTATCTCGAATGACCTAATTTTATCATGAATTTGCGCCAGTAATTCAGGGGAAACAGTTTGAAAAGAGGAGTGGAGGATCACTTCAACAGCTTTACTGCGGCCATAGTTCGTAACGTCTGGGACACTCACGTGGATGCATTTACAATGCCCTTCTCCCTGAAGTTTGTTCAGGCAACGCAATAAAGTCTTTCGGTCCATTGTTGTATTCTTTTCCTTCCCAAGATTCTCAAGACTCTCCAGACGTCTATGGAGCTCAGGTTTAATGAGGAACTTCTCCTCCTTCACACCAAAAGAGAAAGAAGGCAAAACTTAGCAAGAACCAATGGAAAAATCAGCCAACTAGCTGACTTAAAAAAATTATTTGAAGGTCGATGAGACAGACCTGCAACAATTTGAGTATGTTTTGTTCCCTCTGTGAGTTAGTTGCACCCATAATAAGACGGGGATATCTTGGGTTTGATCGACGCCTGGAAGGTGTTGGGGTTGATGGTGGTGCAAGTGCAACAACAGCAAGAGAACATGTTTCTACCATATTATTGTTGTTTACTGAGTTACGGGCAGGAAATAATTCCTGATCAGGGACTCCACCGGATAGCTCCATACCAGAATTCTGTGTACTGCATTGTAGAAGCAGAGTGCTGGAACATTCTTTATCCATGTTTGTGACATTAGAGGCATCTGCGATGTCAACTGCCTCCTTTTCACTTTTGTTGATACCTCCAACATTCTCCATTGAAATAGAATCATCTATCACTTTCACAGGCTGAGACAAGTCCTCATGAGATTCAAGATCCAAACTACTTGGGCCAGATTCATTTACTTTAAGAGCTGTTTCTTCTTCTGCAGGAGCCATATTGGATGATCCTGGATTAAAATTACCAGCAGTCCAAAGTCGGTAGACCTCATTTCTATTGTGAGGTTCCAGCTGTAAATGCAATCCAAACCTAGAGATCATTTGCTTAAAATATCGCCTGTGGTACTCCTTACTGCATAGTCCAAGCCTTCTACACACCTGTTTAAACAGTGTTATGGATATCTGGACATTACTTACAAAAAATCCAAGCCACTATATATAGATTTGTACAAGTAACCAAAAGGAAAAAAAGGCCATTAGCATCAAGGAATTAACCAGTCATTATACTATATAGGAATATAAACTGCAAAAATTTACTGCAGCAGCACTTGAAAGAAATGACTTGAGGACTGAGTTAACCTCACCAGAGAGATGCTGCAAACATATCCAGTTTGCAGTTTGTATATACGATTATTGTAGCAAGAACAGTTAAAAATTCATGCAAGTAAAGGCTCTCAATTCATGACACAGTACAGGTGATTGATTTAGAGTCATCAGGCTTCTGATCCTATGAATTCATGCAAGTATGACAGTTTGCAAGAACAGTCAAAATTCATGCAAGTAACAACTCTCAATTCATAAAATTCATGCAAGTAACAACTCTCAATTCATGACACAGTACATGTGATTAATTTTGAGTCATCAGGCTTCTGATCCTATGAATTCATGCAAGTATGACAGTTTGCAAGAACAGTCAAAACTCATGCAAGTAAAGGCTCTCAATTCATGACACCTTACAGGTCATTCATTTAGAGCCATCAGGCTTCTGATCCTATGAAGTCATGCAAGTATAAAAGTTTGCAAAAATAGACCACAAAATTGTATAAAAATGTGAAGCGGTGAAGCTCAAATTTGGATAGAGCTATAATCTTTCCTGCTAATATTCAGCAATAGAAAGTGGCAATAGTATCTGAATTCTAAGGAAAATAGGAAGTGCACGACTGAATAAGACAAAGCCTAATGGTAGCTTTCAAGATACGCATAAATGAAGCAAATGTGTGAAGCAAGGGGTAATTCATTGTAGTTCTCTTATATTTTAGTCATTACCTCTGTATTAGTCAACCCTTTTGCTCCCGCAGCATCAACCATGTCATATACCTGCCGGAGAAGGGGAAGTTCTAAAAGTTGTTCAGTAATTTGACCTCTTTTCATTGACGTTTTTGATTGCTCGGGATCTGTATCATCGTTCCCATGCCCATGAAGTTTTGGCTCGAAATATGATGGAGAAAAACTGGAAATTAGGCGTAAACAATTGACCTCCTGAAAATGAAAGATACCAGCAATAAGTGAATGGAAAACATAGTTGTCATATGCGACATGTGACTCGGACGATAATTCATCGCCTAGAGCCTCACAACCTAGGCAACAAAAGCAATGGCCAAGCCATCTACAGAAAGTAATAATGTCATCAAACACTAATCTACGATAGCAAACACCAATATCTATCATCAGGAAACAAGGACACCAGCCACATACTCAACAATGTCAACAATACATAATCACAGGTGGCATTCTTCCATCGACTCTAAAAATATGATGCCTAGGCGATATACTGTTGCCTCTGATCTAGGAAACTCTAATAGTGCTAAAGATAATTTTAACTCAAGCTGCAAGTGATTTTTCACAAAAGCAATAAGTTTCATAGATTCATCATTCATCCAACATTATTTCCAATACCTCCAATATAGTGCAAATCATACTCCAGAACTACCTTGAAAATGCAGTGGTAAAGCAAAATGTTTACCCCGCATATAAAATCTCAAAAATAAAAATCCATAGATATGTAATTGGCAGCATAAATCAGAACTAATTTTATAAAGCTGCAAATATAGTAGCCAGAAACATTACAACTACAAGAAACTTTCGCATATGACCAGTAATAACTGATCAATTGCATTGATCAATTAAAAAAACAAAAACAATATTGCAGAAGACTCCTTCCATGGAGGTCCAAAAAGGATCGGATGAGTCATAAATATAATTTTTCTAATACATTGGTGTTAATACCTTCTTGTTGATTATTGTACAGCACTCTTCCACAACTCGTGCCACTTTCAACTTGTGACACATCTGACATTAAAATTCATGTTCTTCCCAGATGAGATCAATAAATTTACATTTTGAATGAGACCAAAAGGAAAGAAATGAATGGAAAAAGATAGGAAAAATACATTTCTCCAAGCTCGATGACCATGAGTTCCTCGATAACCAAGATCTTGTTTTATATCCGAAACAACCAGAACCTTCAACAAGAAAAGGTAAAAAAGTATTAGCTTGAACATATGTAGCAAAAATGGGTAATACAGATACACATTCTAGTAATTACTAACCTTTCCCTGAGCTTTTTCAAGTTTATCACATATGGCCTTCAGGGCAGGTAAAAAATCTTTGACATGTACATCCTCTTTTGATATTTCTTCACCAAAATCAATACCAGTTTCTCCGTGACCATCTTCTACCTCCCCATCCATCACAAGTTTATCCTCCTTAGTGATTTCAAGTCTCTGATGGTAACCAAGGTGCTTCCCATAACGGTATAGATACAGCATATTGGTGGCTGTAACGGACTCACTGTTTGGCTCTCTGTTGGATGCCTGTTTTGTTCGAATAACAGTTGGCTGCCTCACAATATATCCTTGGGTTTCAAGTCTCTTCAATGGGTAGAATAATTTGTTTGGTGCAATGTGTAATTCTTTTGAAAGATCACTTTGTGCAATTCCATTTGTCCTGAAATTATGTGCAACAGTCATTGATACTGATTTTTAGCTTCCATTCCAAATGCACTTCTAGAATATATTTCAAAATGGCATGTGAAACACCATCTTTATACCAACAAAAAAAGCTATATGATCAAATGCCGACAGAGAAGGCTATATGATCGAATACTAACAAAACAGAAGATGAAAAAACTGAGTATTCAGTGAACCATTCGACAGACTCAGTTGATATTCTTGTTTGTCCTCATTCATACCCAATAACAGTAGTGAACATGTGGATTTGATATTCGTTCATATTTGATGCTAGTTTATTATTCATTAATTAACACTTTTTACCACTTATTAGGCATTACTTACAAAAAATAAGCTCACTCCGTTTTAATATTACAGCTTGCTATATTTGCAACTATTATGAAATTCATTCACTTCGAATGGGTGTTCATGATGCGCATTTATTTTTTCCGATAATATATTTGAAATAGGTCTTCATGAACGTTAATGATAATCTTATGAACAAGTTTGAATATAAAACAAACGCACACGAATAAGCCTTTCAAAAATAATAGATTAAACACGGAGTGTTTTTCAGGTTCTTCGGGCAACCAAATCATTGCGTTTAATATGCACAATGGCCCATGGAGAGACAGCGTAAAATAAACACTAACACCAGTTGTGGGAAGATTTGTCGAACTCACACAAGAGCAAATATACAATTTGAGGTGCAAAAATAAAAAAATGGCAGCAAGTCTACTAGGAAGAAGGCCTCCTTTTAAGATGAGTATCTAATTGATGTATTCTGCTTTAGTCATCATTGATACGAACAAAGCTAGTTGATCTGTTCGTGATCAGAGTTTATTTTATACATATCTACCTATTTATNNNNAAAACTAATATATCAAAAACAGATAAACATAATGTTTATCACTCGCAATCATGAGCAAATTCAAGCTCACCTAGCAACAGCAAGCCGCTCAAGAATGAGTCGCTGAATATCAGACAGGCCAGACTCTGAGGACTCCATCTCGTAAATGCCTAGAAAGCTCTTCCTCATCGACTCCGGAGCCACGATCTTGACATTCATCTTTTCACACTCCTCAACGGTTCGCTTCACCAAATCCTGCTTCGAGCTGTCCAGAGCGCAGCCATCAGAGGACTCGAGTTTGAGCCCTGGAATTTCCAGAAGATTCTCCCACAGGGCACGCTTCACGTTCGGGCCGAGGGGGAGGCCCTCTGACGCGAGCTGCGGGCCGAGTCTCGGCCATAGGCTCCGGAGGTGGAGCCCGTTTGCAGCTGCGGAGCAAATTTCTTCGAGTGCCGAGTGGACGGCGGAGTCCATGCCGGGCGGAGAGCGGTGGTGGCAGCACAGAATTGTTTTTCTCGTTTTTTTTTTTCCTTTTCTTTTGGCGGGGAATTAAAGCGTGGATGGGAGTACGCTGAGTATAACTATTAGGTTTAGAGTTCGAATCGATTTTGGGGGAAGAAAATAATGAGATATTTGACACAGTTTTACAATGGTCACAGGTCAGTGCACGAGAGAAGGATAAAATATGAGGCGAGTAAAATCTATCTATCGAAATTGGAAAATCAAGCTGTGCAATTCAATGCAGTTCGGTTTCAATTTTTAACGTGAAAAAAGTTTTATCTTGATTTTTTATTCTATGCGGGGTAGTTTATTCGGTTTTCGGTTTTGTTTGATTCGGTACGATTTTGCATCGGACTACACAAAAATTGAGCTGAACTGCTTAGGATTTGTTTGTATACAACTCATATTCAAAATCTAAGTCAACTTTAACTCAACTCCAATATCCTCAATATTATCAATATAATTAAATAATATTAATCAATCATTCTTACACACCACATCAACTATAATTTACTACTTTATCCATTCACATAATTTTAATTAACTATCACTTCATATCATCTTTTTTCTATTTTACATCAAATCAACTTTAATTATTTATTTTAAATATTATTTTAATATAAAATCAAAATCACACTAAACTAACTATACCTCTTTTTTTTTCAAAATTAACTATGGTTACCAGAAAAACTTATTTTGAACTGATATATCTGTATACACACGCTCTAATTCGCCGTTTTTATCTGGGTTGTGGGCCGGGTGTTAAGGGGGCTGCTGTGAGTCATTAACAGCAGCCTCAGCTGTTACATATCAACTATAGATTTAGTCCACATCCAAGGGCTATAAACAAATAACAAATAAATATCTTTATACTTAATAAACTTATTAAACTAACAATAACCCTAATAAACTAAACCTCCTGCTGCAAGTGCAAGCTCCCCTCTTTGCTCGAACTTCAGAGACCAAAGTCACTGGCCCCATTGCTCATCCCCTTGAATCCACTCACGACACCAAAGTCATGGGCTACGATATATTTCCCGGCACAACGGTCGTGATCAACACGTGGGCCACCGGTAGGGACAATCCTGAAAATTTGTTCCCGAGAGGTTCTTGCACTCGCAAGTTAATTTCAGAGGTAAACATTTTGAGTTCATCCCGTTTGGCGCTGGCCAGGGACAGATCTAGAAATTAAGAATAGGATGGGCTATAATTTTAAATACTCATTTTCGTAAAAAAATCACATAATATTTTGTCTTCATATATTCACTGAAGTTGTGCTCGACGAGCTTTTACAAAATAAAATTCATCAATAATAGAATTTATACTTATACTATTAGTAAACTCCCATTTGATGAAGAGAATCAAACAATCTTCGAGAAAACCATCCTCAATCTTGTTACGAAGTGTTGTCTTCACAATACCAATATAAGACAAATATGTCAATTTATTTAAGCCAAATATGAGTTGAAATATAAATTTTTTAACTAATCATTTCCACATTCTATAATCATGATCAACCGTTCAAAAACGAACTCGCAAAAAAAATGAAACACAAACAAATATCATAAAATATGCAAAAAATAACATTGATAGACACCTCAGTCCTCAGTCCTCACACCATCTTATATCATTTGTCTACAAATGATATTGCTAAACATATTATATTAGGACAAAAATTGAAACAAAAATGAAATTACTAAACATGTTTAGCAAAACAAAAACAAAAACATGATAATTAAGAAGAAAAAAAAAATAAATTCTGGTTCATAATTAGATCAATAGGTGCATTTGAGTATACAAGCTAATCACAATTTGAAGCAAAAACACCCAATTGCTCAAAATCCAGAAAAAAAATAAATAAATAAAAAAATAAAAATCGCACACATACACAAACACGATAATATTATGAGTATGAATACTTCAGGCTCAGGCTTCAAATTTCTCTTTTCCTTTCACACAATAATTAAACCTTGTAAGCTATTTTTTACCCTTCAGTCCTTCACAATACACAATCAATCAATCTACGATTTGTAAAGTAAACATTTTTTTTTTTTTACCTTCTGAAGCGGAATCGGATGGCCCGTGGCCGAGTGGTGGCAGCCTGGTAGGTCGACGGATGAAGAGTTGACGACGGCGGAATTCGGCGGCTCGTGAGTGAACGCAATCCGCTTAGAACCGAAGAACTGAAAAGGGCATAAAATTCTTAGTTATGAAATATGAATGTCGAAGTGAAAGTGATAAACGAGGGGTTGAGCCCTGAGGATTTAGGAATTAGGATTTTGTTTTTTTTTTTTTCAAATCTATCATTATATAAAAAGAATAACTTTTTTACAAATTTAGAAACTTTTCCCGCCAAAATCATTAAATATATCTTATATGTAGTAATTATTGGACAAATCTGAATAGGCAAAAAATTCGGCTCATTAATTGTGTAAGAATTTGTTTCTCTTTTTCCTGTTTTTTAGTTTATAGTAAATATTTGTTTTTCTTTTTCCTATTTTTAGTATAAATCTACACGAGTTTATCTCTTCTGTTACAAAATTCCATGCCATATAAAAAATCTCATTCCTTATCTATACAGATTTGAAAAAATAAAATAAAATAGAAACCAATTCATAATTACTACTAGAAATCCACTATCATTAAAAAGAAAAAATAAAACAAAATAGAAACCAATTCATAATTACTACTAGAAATCCTCTATCCATTATCTACTTTAAGAAGCTAATTTTCATCGGTCTAATTACTAATATTTTTACAAATATTATAAGCTAACCATACGAAAAAGTATAATAATAATTTTGAAATGGTGTGTAATCAATTTTTTTATATTCTCTTATACAAAATAATTCTACATTGTTTGACCCTGAATCTTTAATTTATAATTATTAAGTATTGTTTATCCTCCTCTTTAATTTACAATTATTTTTTTTTCCTCTTTTTAAATAGGATCAATAGTAGTTTCCACTTCCGCCATTGAGTGACTCAAACTCGCGGTCTATTTATAATATTTTTAATTTAATATTGTTCCCGTGCATCGCACGGGGTACACACTAGTTAGGAATTAATCTGTTAGTCTGTTAGATTCTATATTTGGGCTTGGCCCTTGTTATTAATTTATTTTTATTGGGCTAGGTAGCCTGGGCTATAACTAAAAAAAAAAATATTAAAAGTAGCAAAAAAAAAAAAAAGGCCTGGGGTTGATCCCATCCCAGGCCTAATGTAAGTCCGTCCCTGGCGCTGGCCAGAGGGGATTCTTTGGGATTACTTTCGGGTTGGCTCTTAACGAGCTTGGACTAGCCAAATTGGCTGCTCAATAGCAATGGGATCGGATTACATACAAGGTGATCGGAGGAATGCTTGACCTGTATTTCTTTGCCAGACCCACGCCGGAGCTGGTCATGGAGGGCCTCATTGGCCGGCCGGCGCTTATGCCTTATTGGTCGTTTGATATGTAGGATAATGTTGTTGATATTGTTCTGTTTTGAGATTATGAAAAAAAGTGATTAAATTGGCTTCTTGATGCTTATACTGCAGTCCGAGAATTACCTATATGTTCTTGATATTTGAATTGGGCATTTTTGTTTGATTGTCTTATATCTTGCTTTAGTTCATAAAAAAAGAAATAATCTATTAATAATGGCTCACAGCTCTTAATGGAGAATTGATGTAGCCTTTTCTTTGATAAAAAGGTTTTTGTATTGGAGTTTGTAGATAGTAGCATCTGAGGAATATGATATGCTAAATCAGAGAGAACCGTGACGAAACAAAACAATATGCTAAAGATTTGAATTTTGAAGTTGGTGTTTGAAGAGAAAGTTATTTGCAGATTGCCATGAAAGTAGAAACGCAACAATGAAGAAGTTGAATTAACATGCTTAGTCTTAATGTGGTTCTCTATCTGACTTGAGTTTTATGACATGTTTATGCAGATATCAATTTTTTGGTTCATTCAGTATATTCAGAGTGATGAATCTAGATTTGTTAATGAGTGCACTTAAAATTGCTCTGTCATGATAAACTCGTGGATGCTTGGGTGTTGGAATTAACTAATCAGACCACTTGCATTAGAACTTACAAGCTTCTTTGTGTTTCTTCTATTTTTAGAGTATTATATATAAGTTTAATGAAGCTTGATAAGTCAATCACATACAACAAACAAAGATCACTCAGCAATAGAATCCCTTATCAAAATGGTAAAACTTAACCACCATCACCAACCAATCCTATAACAATGACCCATCTAAAAAAAAACGATTCTTACGGTTTAAATAAGAACATAATCAATATGGGCCTCAACAGAATTGAACAAAAAACAAGTACAAGGACACCCAAAAGAATTTATGTGGACGTCCATCCGGCCAGGTCGGAGTAGGGCCAAGTCGAGCCTCTCAGCGTGATTAGTCGTGAATAATTTGATCCGCTCATCCCCACAGCTCGACCACAAGCCGTCGACATAGTTGAGTACACTTGATAGTGTCACCTTGCCTTCTGCTCTGGGTCAATGGCCATCATGTCGAACACAATGGCCATCATGTCGAACGTGGTTGGGTGGTCCAGCGTGGCCTGGACCCACTCGTCACCCTCCATGTCAGCCACTGTGTGGATCTTGATCGTCTTCTTCTTGAGCTTGTAGCTTGTACCTTCTGGCCTCGCGCGTAACGTGCGGGAGGTACGAATCCACGACGACGTCCCTGTTCTTGCGGTGGAACATGAGCTCGAACGAGCGGGCCTCGGACTTGAGGGTCGCGTGGGTTGAAGAAATTCCTTCTGGCCACGGTTTCTCTACAGATCCAGACCCACTTGAACGTCTGGCCCGCGTAGGTGTCGACGAGCTCCTGGTCCTTCTCTGCGGAGATTCGGTAGTGCTCGTCCTTCTCGCCCCGACCGATCTTCAGGCGGCGGACGTTCAACTTTAAAAAAAAAAAAAAGAAAGAAGAAAGAAAGTGGCAGAAATAGTTGTTTACAAAATGAGAAAATAATCTAACTTTTAACCGTTAGATTATAATTGATCTTATGGCTGTAAAATAACAGTTGGGCTGTTGTTAGTGGATCACAAATTGGCGATATATAAATACAGAGATAATGGCATAGTTGTAATTATTTGGAAAATTGATGGCGAAAAGCGCGGGGGGCTCGATAATCGAGTGACCTTAGGTTTGCTAAGAGCATCCACAATGCTTTGGGTTTCTTTTTGTATATGTGGCATATAATTGGACTTGAGTTTTAAATGACATGGATAAACCCAAGTAAAAAAACTCAAAAACTTTGCAATGCAAAAATAAAAAGACTAGGTCTAGCATACATGCCAACCAATAGAAATGTTCTAATATGTTTTATTCATTAAAAAAAATTAAATTAAGAACAAATGATGAGTATTTGGACTTGTACTTAGTGTACGAACTCAGCAGCATAACTACTCAGCAGCATAACTCCTTCGTTTCATGTGTGTGTGTGTATCGGCTTCCTTGTTTTAAAGTCGTGACACGTTTCTATTAGTTTTTTCTTTTCTTTCGTTTTATGTTTTTATTGCAACGACGTCGTTTAAGCTAGGATCATTTACGACGTCGTTTTTACTCTGTGCATGAACAATATAAATGCACCTGCATGTACGGTTTCTAAATTAAGATGAACAATAAAATGAAATTTGTTTCTTATGAGCTTGAGCTTGTACATGGTATCTAGAGCAAGTGACGGTCCTGCGAATTTCTGAGTTTCCCGTCAATGGCGAACAATCGGAACAACGATCCTTGGCCAATGCTCAACGCACGAGCTGGAGGCAACTCAGAGGTGCGTGAAGATCACCCTTTCTACCTCAGTGGATCCGACAATCCAGGTATGCAGCTCGTATCGCATCAGCTAGATGGTACAAATTTTCTGGCGTGGAAGCGTTCAATGATGATTGCGCTTGGTGCTAAAACAAAGTTAGGGTTCATAAATGGTTCTATTGAAATTCCTGAAGTGGATGATGCGAATTATGAAAAGTGGCGAAAAGCGGATTGGACAGTTATTTCCTGGATTCTGAACTCACTGACAAAGGAGATAGGCAGTTCCTTCATGTATGCTGAGTCGGCAAAGGAGCTGTGGGAGGAAATCGGTCAGAGGTTTGGGGAAAGCAATGGTCCACTCATTTACCAATTGCAGAGGGATATTGCTAGTCTTAAGCAGGGAAATGAGCCGGTTATGGTCTATTTCAACAAACTTAAGAAAATGTGGGATGAGCTGAGTAATTTGGTACCTCAACTGACCTGCAAATGTGAAATTGGAAAGGCGATTTTGGAACAGCAGATGCAAGCAAAGATGATGCAGTTCCTAATGGGATTAAATGAGAGCTTTGATCATGTCAAAAATCAACTGCTATTAATGGATCCCTTACCTACAGTGAATAGGGCATACTCCATGGTCTTATCTGCAGAAAGGCAGAGATTTGTGCAATCGACTTCAGGTGATCTTAGCTCAAGTATGGCAATGGCAGTGAGATACAGTGGAGGAAACAAGGATAACAGTTTTAGAACTCAAGGTTATAATCAGAAAACGGGCAGAGAAGGGCAGAGGCTTACAAAGGAAGAAAAGGCTAGGCTGATTTGTGACCATTGTGGGAAAAATGGTCACGAAAAGAGCACTTGTTTCAAGTTGCATGGCTTTCCAGAATGGTTTAAGGAAAACAAGGACAGAAGGTACAAGGGTGCAGCAAATATGATACAAACTGAGAGTATCTCTAAGCCACAAGGTGTAAGTACCAATTCTGTGGGAGACATCTCAGCTTTGGCCCAGGAAGTAGCTAAATTGCTGGGAAGATATCCAATCAACAATGACAGAGGAAAACCATACAAAGAAGAGGAACAATATGTGAGTTTTGCAGCAAATGTGGATGAAAAGGAGAGGCACTATGCTTTGTCAATGTTTGATGAGCTGAATGTAAAAGCTTGGGTAATAGATACTGGGGCAAGTAGACACATGTGCATAAGTCAGGATTTAATGAGAAATGTGACTCACTTGCCAGCACCAATTGCAGTATACATGCCAGATGGGACAGTCAAAATGGTTACACAGGCTGGAGAAGTGCAAATCACACAAGATCTTATCCTATATGAAGTTCTTCTTGTACCATCATTCAAGTATAATCTTCTATCAGTTACTCAAGTTTGTATTACATCTCATTTGAGATGTAGCTTTACTTCAAGAGGCTGCCATTTTGAAAGAGAAGAGTCTGGAGAGGTCATAGCAACAGGAAATCTAAGAGAGAAATTGTACATTTTGAACAATGACTGTGAGGGTAAAAATGTAAGTCTGAGCTGCAAGGCTTCACTGAATGATTGGCATAAGGTCCTTGGACATGCATCTTATGGAGTAATGAAGCAGCTGCCATTCCTTAAAAATGAGTGCAATACAGAAGGAGACACAAACCTGAAGAAGTGTGATGTTTGCTTCAAGGCCAAACAACATAGGCTGCCATTTCCAAACAGCAGCATCAAAACAACAGAATGCTTTGCCTTGTTACATGTGGATATTTGGGGACCCTGCAAAGAGGATTCAGTCCTCAACACACCATACTTCCTCACAGTGGTCGATGACTACAGTAGAAGTGTTTGGGTGTTTCTCATGGGAACAAAGGGGGAGACACCAGTTTTGCTAAGAAGATTCATAACAATGATCAAAACTCAGTTTGGAAAACCTGTCAAGCAAATTAGAAGTGACAATGGGCAAGAGTTCTTAAGCAATGAATGTCAAAGAATGTTTGATGAGTTTGGAATTATACATCAGAGAAGCTGTGTATACACACCACAGCAAAATGGTGTGGTGGAAAGAAGGCATAAACAGATACTTGAAGTTGCTAGAGGGTTAATGTTCCAGTCAAATATGGACATCAAATACTGGCCATATGCAGTCTTAACAGCAGTTCACATCATAAACAGACTACCCAGTGTGGCCTTAAACTGGGAAACACCTTTTGAGAGAGTTTATAATGAATCACCGGATTATACCAGACTAAGGCCATTTGGTTGCTTGGTGCATGCAGTTAATACTAACCCTAACAGAGGGAAATTAGGGCCACGATCTCATAAATGTGTCTTCCTTGGCTATGCTAGAGGATGCAAGGGTTATATTTTGATGGACATTGAGGATGGCAAGAGGTTTATATCCAGAGATGTGGTGTTTGTCACTGAGGTCTTCCCTTATAGAAGGGCACAAAGTGACAGTTATGACAATACACCCTTGCCATTAGTCAATGAGGTTGAAGACATGGACAGTGATCAGGAGTCAACTCAAGTAGAGAATACTCCACAACAAAGTCAACAGATACAAGGAGAAAAAAGGATCAGAAAGCAACCTGTGTGGATGAAGGACTACATTTGTGGAAGTGCAGACATAAGCAACTCACATGATAAGGAAGATGAGGGAGCATTCCTGGCTAATATATCAAAGGAACAGGAACCTACTCACTTTGAGCAGGCCAGACAACATAAACAATGGGTGCAAGCTATGAATTTGGAACTCAAGGCCTTAGAGGATAATCACACATGGGAATTGTCTCATTTACCACCAGGAAAGAAAGCCATAGGGTCAAAGTGGGTGTACAAAATCAAAAGGAAGGCAGATGGGACAGTGGAAAGATATAAGGCAAGGCTAGTGGCAAAGGGTTTTACTCAAGTGGCCGGTGTAGATTACTTTGATGTTTTTTCTCCAGTTGCTAAGTTGGTCACTGTGAGAATGTTCATGGCCTTAGCAGCATTCAAAGGGTGGACTATATGGCAACTTGATGTGAATAATGCCTTCTTACATGGGACTTTGTCAGAGGAAGTGTACATGAAGCTGCCGCAGGGTTATGATAAAGGGACAAATGGGCAGGTTTGCAAACTGGTTAAAAGCCTATATGGCTTGAAACAAGCTTCTAGAGAATGGAACTGTGAATTGTCAAAGAGATTGCTGGAATTTGGGCTCACACAATCCCCACAGGATCACTGTCTGTTCACATATCATGATGATGGTCATTTTATGGCAGTGTTGGTTTATGTTGATGATGTTTTGCTTATGGGATCAGATTACAAGAAAATAGTGGCTTTAAAGGAATACCTGCATGATCTCTTTACCATCAAAGATCTTGGCATTGCCAAGTACTTCCTTGGAGTTGAGATCTCCAGGACAGCAAATGGCATTCATCTCAGTCAGAGGAAATATATACTGGATTTGTTAGGGGACATGGGCTTAGAAGATTGCAAGGAGGCTGCCACTCCTTTACCACAAGGTCTCAGATTAACTGGGTATGATGGGGAACCCATGACTGAACCTGACAAGTATAGAAGACTCATTGGGAGGCTTCTCTACCTTAATATGACTCGACCAGATGTGAGCTATGCAGTCCAACAGTTGAGTCAATTTGTTAACAGTCCTTTTACTGAGCATTGGGATGCAGCCATTTCAGTGTTGAAGTATCTCAAAGGAACCACTACTCTTGGTGTGTTTTTTAGCTCCACATCACAGCCTGCTCTCACTGCCTACTGTGATGCTGACTGGGCTACATGTAAAGACACACGCCGGTCCATTACTGGGTATTGTGTATTTCTTGGTGATAGCCTCATATCTTGGAAAAGTAAGAAGCAGGTTACAGTTGCTCGTTCATCGGCTGAGGCTGAGTATAGGTCTATGGGGACCACAGTTTGTGAATTGCAGTGGATTTATTCCTTGGCTAAGGAGTTTCAGTTAGACCCTCACCTACCGATCCCTCTTTGGTGTGACAACAATGCTGCTATGCACATTGCTGCAAATCCGGTTTTCCATGAGCGAACGAAACATCTTGAGATCGATTGTCATGTTGTTCGGGATAAGTTCAAGGCTGGTTTCATTCATCCTTCTTATGTATCCTCCTCGGCTCAACTGGCAGATTTCTTTACCAAGTTACTCCCAGCTGCTGTTTTTCGTCGGTTACTGTGCAAGTTGGGTGTGTTTGCCTGTGACCACACTCCAACTTGAGGAGGGGGTGTACGAACTCAGCAGCATAACTACTCAGCAGCATAACTCCTTCGTTTCATGTGTGTGTGTGTATCGGCTTCCTTGTTTTAAAGTCGTGACACGTTTCTATTAGTTTTTTCTTTTCTTTCGTTTTATGTTTTTATTGCAACGACGTCGTTTAAGCTAGGATCATTTACGACGTCGTTTTTACTCTGTGCATGAACAATATAAATGCACCTGCATGTACGGTTTCCAAATTAAGATGAACAATAAAATGAAATTTGTTTCTTATGAGCTTGAGCTTGTACACTTAGATCCAAAATAGACCCAAATCTGGACTTGGTTTCTTTTTTTCATTGCCACATAAGTTAGACCATGTCTACTTTTAATTGCATTAAGAAATATTTTTTTATAGACTAAATCTATTTCCCATGTGGCATGTGATTTTTTTGTTAAGAGACCCAAAGCGGGTGCTTAAAAGCGTCAACGGGGCCCAAATTGGTAACGTAAAAGTGACAGGGTACATTCATTCGGCGCACAATAGACAACACCCCTACGAAATTCTATCGTGCCCTGCTTCGTGTTACCCTAATTCTAACGGAGCACCTTCACCACACACATATATATGACTGCACTATACACACTGCGCACCAAAACATTTGACAGCCGCCGTTCATCATTTTATCTTTCAGCTCACAAATTTCTACACTCTAAACGCGCAGTTAGCTACTCGAAGGAGGAAAATGGCGACCCAGATGAGCAAAAAACGAAAGGTATGTACGCGGATGTATATGAACTTACTCAAACGAGCCTCTCTCACTCGTATAGTTGATTTTTACCTGTTATGTGATGGCGTTTATTTTTTTATTTTTTTTTTCTGAGAAACAGTTTGTGGCTGATGGGGTATTTTTCGCGGAGTTGAACGAGCTGCTTACGAGGGAGCTGGCGGAGGACGGGTACTCCGGCGTGGAGGTGAGGGTTACTCCCGTGCGCACCGAAATTATAATCAGGGCAACTCGTACTCAAAACGTTCTGGGTACATTTTCTGTTTTTTCCCCCTTTTTTAATGTCGATCTAGATACGTTGAGTTGCCGAGTCTCCTTTGATGGTTGCTTTTAGATTGTGTTTAACTAGTTGAATACTGTGTAGTCCCGTTTGATGGTTGATTTTAGATTGTGTTTTTACATGGCTGACTAGATGAATACTGTGTTAGTATTCAATTGTATGACTTGTTATATTGATTGGTTGCTTTGTTATTATCTGTTGGTTTTAGGTGAGAAAGGGAGAAGGATTAGAGAATTAACTTCTGTTGTTCAGAAGAGGTTCAAATTCCCGGAAAACAGTGTTGAGCTATATGCTGAGAGAGTTAGCAACAGGGGCTTATGTGCAATTGCTCAGGCCGAGTCTTTACGCTATAAGCTTCTTGGAGGGCTTGCTGTCCGCAGGTTTGCCTCCCTGCTTGCTGACCATCTTGTTGTGTTGAATCATGAACATTATTGTGTGAGGGGATACTGAATTAGTATCTGCGCCACATTGCAGCTACATGTATATTTTGCAATTTGCATAGCTCAATAGGAAAGGAACATTTTTTTTTCTTGTAAAACTAGTTTTATCATGCCTGCTTCATAGTCATCTAAGCTACATTTGTTTGTAGTACGGCATTGGTTATTATATGTTTTCTTTCTCCAAATTCATCGGACAGAGAACATAAACCGGTGCTTATAATGATTTGGTGGAGTTAGGTTGGCCTCTTTACTTACTCCAGTGTGAATGGGGTTTTCTAAATACTCCCACATGAATTTTCAGATTCTAAATCTAAACTGGTGGTTCCCATATTTCTTGTAGTTCGTGTGAAATAGACTGAGTTAGATTATAATTTTTTTGATCTGAATATGGGAACACTGAGTGCATTCATAGGTTGGTTTTTATTTTAATCTTTCCTTTTCAAGCATGAGCTGAAGAGATTCCTCATTGATGCTGATATTTGAAGAATTGAAATGGCTTTACTCCTTGTGTTTATGAAGTTTGGAAGATTCTCCTTTAGATGTATCTTGTTTGAGCTCCTGTGTTGTAACTTGTAATAATATGTAGTAAAATGCTTGCACTTGAAAGCACTTTGAAATTCTCATATTATGGGGGTGGTCTCATTGAAGTTTGTTTCTCTCCAGGGCCTGTTATGGTGTGTTACGATTTGTCATGGAGAGTGGTGCCAAAGGCTGTGAGGTAACAATCCCTAAACTTTCCTGCAAAATTGCATTTGATTTTCCAATTTAATCGTTGATGCAATTATGCAGGTAATTGTTAGTGGGAAGCTCAGGGCTCAACGTGCCAAGGCAATGAAATTCAAGGACGGGTACATGATATCTTCTGGCCAACCTGTCAAAGAATACATCGACTCTGCAGTGAGGCATGTTCTTCTCAGGCAGGCAAGATCCAGTGACATTTTTCTTTATTTTCTTATCTCAATTCCAAAAGTATTCATTCTACTTAAATGGGACATCACTGCTTTTCTTGTGAGGGGGATTTTTTAAAAATATATTTGGCGTTTAGTTTCATAAAAATAAAAAAAGGAAAAAAAAAATCCCCAAGTATCTTGCAAATGTATGGAATTTGAAAATCCAATCTGTGAAAACTGAACCGAAACCCTTTGGGCTGTGATCTGACTTGGATAAAAACATAATTGATTTAGGGTGTTCTTGGTATAAAAGTGAAGATAATGCTCGACTGGGACCCAAAAGGGAAGCAGGGTCCGGTGACACCTTTACCCGATCTCGTCACCATCCATCCACCAAAAGAAGAAGAGCATTACATTGCTCCTCCACCTGTTGCAACTGAGGTTGAAGTCCCATTGGGCAGTGTAGATAACTAGGTCAAAGTAGTCATATTTATCCTGTTTGCTCCTTTGATGTTTTTTTTTTTATTTGTGTCTGGGTAGTGCTTAATAGTTGCATGAAGAGAATAATGTTTTGTATTTTGGAGTATTATATGTTTGTTCCATAGTATATACTATGCTGTTTTCACTGTTTTTTTTCACTTTTGATATCCTGCAATCTTATTTTTTTTTTTCTGTGAAATAATGAGCTTGACATTCTGTTTAATTTATGTATGAATGAAGGGGGTTAACTAAACTTTGTACATTTTGTATTAAAACGCTGTAAGTTTGAACTGCGAATTTCACAACCATGTTTGTCATTGTCATTTTTCTACCTATCTTGTCATCCTCTATTTTTACCAGCACCAAGGAAAATTAAGGGCATGCTTGACTACAAATATATTTGCTTCAAATGAGTTTTTTTTGGTTAACGAGAATCAATTATGAAAAGTATAGTTAGTTATTGAGATTGCGAATTTATCTCGATTGCGAAATGTATCGAAACCTTGGGTACTTAAAAAAAATATTTTAGACGATGGGCTATTCAAAATAAAAAATTCTATGAAGCCATTGGATGATTTTTTTATAGTCATCCACCACTTAATGTATTAACATATGTTCAAAGTGTATTTATTGCAAAACACGTGTCAATTCACTATTGGTGAATAAGTGTGGATGACTCCATAAGCCGAGCGATGGCTCCATAGCAAAATTGATTCAAAATAGTGACAGTGTGATATCTATTCCATTGGCCAAGACAAAACTGATTCAAAATAGTGACAATGTGATATCTATTCCATTGGCCAAGACGTAAAACCATCCAATTCAAATAAAATATTTAGACGAATTAAATTATTAAAATGAATAGGATAGATATTATTTAAGATAAATTAATATTTATAAATTTCAATCATTATTTTATCATTTCTCCATCTTATCACAAATCACATGTATATGCAGCATAAAATTTTCATACTTTTATTTATTCTAAGTTATATATCTCTTCCTATATATTTCATGTTCCGGTTTGACTATTATCCATGCCTATTAAACCTTTTAAAATTATTTTTAAAACACATGATCAGCATAAATCTTAAATATATACATTGTAAAACGTAATATATTTTTTATTGGTTATCGGTTAGTATATAATTTATCAAATTAATAATTTCAACTTTTGCAATTTTTTTCAACTATACCAAGGGCAAGACGTATTATAGCAAACATCTATTGTGGAAAATTTAGAGCAGCATAGAAAAATCAATAAGCATATAAAAAGGTCCATAACTAAAACAAGTAGGACTGGCAAATGTGCATTCGAGTCGAAGAGACTAAAACAAGAGAGTGGCAAATGTGCATCCGAGTCGAAGAGACTGGAAATACAAGGATCCAAATGTTTAAAGATCTAATAGTTGAGCCACCACATAAGATCCAAATAAGGTATCGTTATTTATATTGCTATATACTCTGGTTGGCATAATCGGTGTTTTTATGTCTAACGGTTTCGTAATAATTGATCCGATTTTTTGGAAAATTGCAGGGCAGTGGATAATCAGGTACCTCATCGTGTGTATGAACTGAAATAACACGGGTTCTTGATCAAAAGTCCGATTTATGAGGCATTTTTAATCTTCAAATGGTTCTTGATCAAAAGCAAATTCGTATTTTTGTCAAGTTGTATGTAGCTACTTGCTCGCCTTCAAATGGTACTAGGAAAATAAAATCAATAAAAATAAAATAAAATGCCGAAACTCGGTCCTCACTTGTCGAATGTTACGTTTTTTTTATTGGATTAGTTGGGTAGAGTTATTGCAACCTCAGGGCATGAAGAGACGATTGTACTGGCAGAAGTTGATTATGATGCAACTCGATGCACAAGGTACTAATGTGTATTTTATTTTATTTTTAGTTACTTTTTTTTTTCCCTTTTTATAAAATTTATTTTATTTTAATTTTTGGTATAGTTCAATTTTATGCTGTATAATTTTGCAGGGAAAGTCTCCCCATTGTGAAGCAAAGGCGCCAAGATATTTATCGTTTCAAAGTCCTTTATTAGTAGGCGCCAAGATATCCTTTAGGCTCTTTTAGCAAGTGACGATCAATAGTGGACTGACGAATGTGTGATTGGTCTGGGCTTTATTAAATGGACTGATAGTCACAGCGTAGAAGAATTTTTGGGCTGGAACTGAAATTTAAGCCCATAACTAACTATCATTTCAGCCTTGTAACCCAGTTCTCCCGAACTTTTAAAATTTACATTATCCATCTGTAATTCATATTTATGATTTTTTTTAATTATCACTATATTAATTTTCACTATTTATTACTAATAATTAGGTTATGGTTTATTTTTTCGTAAATTTCTAAAATATTATTATTTTTATTTATGACTCATTCATAATGATTAATTATGACTTTATATTGAATAACTGTATATTTGCGTTTTTTACAAAGTGTAGCAATAGCAAACATATAAAGGACCTAAACTTAAGCAGTTGAAAATATTCAACAATTAATGAGAAATTCTCTGGGTAATATTTTTTTTTTAATTATTATTCCTTAATGATTGTGTCCCAAGTAGGCAAGTAGATGATTGTCTACATCCTTATCATCTTATGATAGCCGATTACTGGTGGTACTTAATATTCTCGCAAATTAAATTTAGTGTATTTTTTTCTTACAAAAGGGAAAAAAATGGATTATTATACCTATAAATGTCAGCAATAAAATAGTCTATAAAGATACAAATTGGAAGCCGTTGTCAACTTTTCCTTTTCTCGTCAGAACTTTCATTTTCCTGATAATTCTGCCGTTATTCAGTCCTCTTTAAATTATTTTATTATGTTAAACCCATAATTAGTTGTTCATATATATCCAATCAGGGAAAATTATTTTAGTTATCTTAGCTTTATCAAATAGTTTTTAATAAATAAATTATTCTATGTAGTTAGTGACAGAAAGAAACGTTTAGCTTTTAATGAAGTGAACAATTATTAACTATTGATAAAGTATAATATCACTTGGACAAGATCGAGTTGCAATCTCAATGGGAAACTGTACAGCAATATGATTGTATAACTTTGTTCTTTAGTTATTGATTTTTTAATCAACTATTAGTATTCTTTATTTATTGATTAAAAGTTACGGGAATGTTAGCCTGTAAACTAGCAAAGGTGCTGTTTTATATTGTATTTAAAAGTATGACATTTGATCTTGACAATATGTATATTTGTGTGTTGGAAAATAATATGAATGACTACCATTGAATTGTCGAAGAAAAGGTATACTTTCTTACACACACACAATAAAAAAAATAAAAATGCTTACTTAATTAGTGAAATGTCATACTTTAATTTAATATTATATTTTAAAATACAATATTCTAAATAGCAACAACTGGTTTTATTATGAAACTGCTCGTGATGTTCATATCGATCTATTATGCAATTTTCTAAACGAACCAAAAACAATCCGAATTGATCTTGTAAAAGATCTGCTACAGAACGAATATCGAAAGTAAATATATTCATTGAAAAAATATGACTTACTAACCATTGCAACACCTAACACAAGACTTGTGACGTAATACTTTATAACCTACAAAAAAATATTAATATGTTCATTATTATTTATAAATTTCAACAAATTGGAAGCAAATAAACTTATAATTGAAATATTTCTCTTAGTCAAATATTGCCACTACACACTCACAATGCATCAAGTATGTGCATGTGTTATGTGTGGTAATAAAAGGCAAGTAAAGTGGGGCTAATGGGAGGCTTAAGTGTTAGATGATGACCCAAACTTTTGTTAGACTCTATTGGATGAATGAAGGATGGAAAATTATCCACCGCTCATGTCAAAATCTCAACTTACGAAGTTTAAGGTAGCAAAATTAATTCAAAATATAAGTTGATGATATGAATTATGATTAAGTAAAAGAGGGGCAAAAATAATGAATTTCAATGAATGTCAATATTTTCATAGTCATTATAAAATTATATGAATTTAAATATCACGAGATCTAACTGTTTTGATTTGTGGCTGGTACACACATTTTAACATGCACACTATGAGTATGTGAACAACATTTTCATAAAATTGTTGGTAAATTATGGCCATTATACTGTTTCG